GAGGGTAGAGTGCGCGATCCGTAATTGGCAGAATAAGTATTAAGGGGTGGTAATCGGCTGTTTCAATAAGGGTAATTTTCTTCGGAAGTTCGGAAGCAAGGCATAAATCCTTGAATTTTGAATTTCAATCACCTCGCTGTCTCTCTACTCATGAGTTTACTCCTCCTCCCCATCCCTACCCACCCAACTCCAGCTTCGACCTTTTTGCAAGCTGCTGATGAATGGGATGAGGACCTGTGTTAAGATCTTGTGGAATCTAGAAGAGAGGAGAAGGTTTAGCAACAACATGATTTGTTCATAGACTTTGCCTCTGATGCGCGTGCTAATCGTCTTATACTATTTGCGGCATTGAACACAGCTAGCCCGAGGTGAACTTTTCATCTCTACCGATCGGTATGCAATACTTGGTTGCGAATTCCTCCGGTTACTGTTTCAAGTTTGACTTGCAGGAATGCTTAGTTGAAAGTGGTAATGTAGCTGCTAAAAAACAGAATTTTTTAGAGGTCTTGCGGCCAAGTCATGACTATGCTAATGGGTTACGAGAGGCGGAAATGCTTCTCAACGAAACCGTGGAACGTCGCAGTGAGGGCACTGTGTTAGAAGCACATCTGCTGCTTGCAAAATTACATTATGCATGCGCCTCCTACACACAGGTACAGTAATGTTATATTTGCATCATATTTACACAGAATTGATTTTTGATTCTCTTTTTAGGCTCTAAAAGACATCGAAAATTCTGGGATGGAGCTAGCCAATACACCTTTTCGTACTTTGCGAGCTCTACGATTAGTTGCTGAAGTGTACGCAATAAAAGGTATTGTTCTTTTCTATCTTGAAAAATGTTTCCCAAATTCAACGGTCGGTAAACAAAGAGGTCAGTTAAGCTTTTTGCGTGTATTGCATAATTTCAAACATAACAAGACAAGCCTGTAGGCACAGGAGGAGCTTTGATTTGTCTTCCGTTCACTAAATTTCTATTGCCTGCTTTTGAATCACTGTTCAAACACTTCTGGGGGTAATTTTAACATTATTTCTCTTGGTCGAGTATCTACTATTGGTCACCCGTAAAGCGTGTAGGTCCATTCATCAGCTGGTTTAAAATTCATTTATTCTGATTAGGATTGATAAGATTAAGCCTGAGAATGAGCTCGGCAGTAGTCTGCGGCCTTGATTATGTGGAACTCTCCATCATGGGTTGCTGCCCGCAACATGTTATCCAATGGAAGAAATTTTGATCCGTTGAAATTTTTTTTTCGTTCCATTTGTCTCAGACAATTCCATCTAAACAATATTCTATACCTAAACACTCAGGCTTTTGCTTGGAGGCAATCGAAGGTCATGATAAAGAATCTAGTAAAATGAAGGCTCTGTTCTGCTATGAGAAGGCTGCTGAGTTGGCGATCCTATATGTTGGAGAAATTGAGAAAAATATTGTCGGTGGTTCAGGAAAAGGTCTGTGATGCAATTTCTATATTGCGGAAGTGAGATCAACTGTTCTGTCTTTTAGGGAGCGCAGCGAGCTCTCTGCAGCAGTCTCGACCTGAGAAGCTAGGTACTACAACCTTTTTTCCTCTTCAAAGCCTATTTACCTGTGGGTATCACTATGTTACCCAATATTATATATTTTAAGGAGACATTCTTGAGTGTTGTTTGGAACGCGTGGCGGCGTTAAGAGTTCGAGATTCAACAATTGAGAGAAAGAGTAACGTGGAAGGAATTGAGTGGTATACTACTTATTACAGATTTTTACTTCTATGTTTTTCTTAACTGATGTAAAACCCAGGTATCGCCGTATAATAACATGCCTCGGTGATAAGTCGACGGGAGAGCGGTTGCAACAGAAAATGTCTCGACAATTTGCCGAACTTCTTATGCGAGCAGTTCCGGCAGATCTGAGAGGTGGAACGACGAGTCAAGCCGTAAGCATGAAAAGCCAGAATTTGAGGTAATTAGTAGAAGCTACGAAGACGCAAACTTATCAGTGTTGGCAGGTGGAGGTGGAGTAGTGGAGTCATGCTACCACCCTTATGGGTCGCAGAGCATATTAAAGATGGTCCAACCAAGTCTTCCATGAAACCAGCGTTTATGATTTTTTCACAGTATCGTCAGGGAAACCTAAAAGGGCTCGGGCATCGGCTGGCTCTGTTGGTAATGTACTAGCCAAAAACACATTCGAAGCTTTGCAGTTCGAGTGTTGTTGAATGTGCGTGCGCATCCAGAAATGGGATTGACAAATCGGACTCCCATAAACCGAAAAGGTTATAATCTTTCAACTCATTACTTTGAGTGGGATTGTGTGCCGATCATTTATAGCTCTGAGCAGCCACCTTTCGCCTTTACTGTAGGTCAACCTTCTTTGTTTGCAACTGCTAAACTCCTCAAGAAAAGGGAAGAATCGATTTAAGCAACAATCATACAAAGTCGCTAAGTCGTCAATACTTAATGTTCATGCGGTCAATGGCTCGTGTCTAATACCTCACACTCAGGCTGAACCGCTTAGAAATGTAAAGTGGGGAGTGGAGGGGCAGGGTAACCGTTTTCTCTAGAGAGACATTATGGAAAGCGATTTCCAGATCGAGATTAATGCCTAACTGTAAGATTCATCTGCGAAAACCCTACAGATACTCCTACCGTTCTTTTGTCTGTTTCAGTTCCGTCAAAAAAGCATGCATCCATTCATCTCTGTTCATAATGAGACCGATTATTTGTATCATCTTGTAATAGAACAGCTGGCGAACAGAGCATATGACAAGATGGCTGTCATCCCAAGGTCTTTAGATATCGTATAATCGTTACTAAACGAGTTTTTATTCGGTCGACCTCGGTTGATCGGGAACAAATTTACCCATATGATAAAAACATTCAAATATTAGTTTTCGAGCTCCTGTTAGCTCACTCTGTTCATGGTCCGAGTTTCAGAGCATCTCAGAAATTGTGAGATCTTAACGTTCCACATTTTCCTTTTGTCACAAGTAATACGATTCCAATCGTATTTTCATTACCGTCTTTTCGATTTGTTTTTATCTTCTAGCCTATCACATTCCATTCGTATAAGCTTGCTGCTCACGCACATATGGATAGGCTATGACGTTAAATCGTAATTTATGTGCCCAGCTCCTTGAAATTAAATACCATCCAACGTGCGCATATCATTCATCCTCGCTCATCGTATATTCTTGAGACATTCCTGACCTACGTCAGAGCTCGGAGGAGCTGTTCTACACAGTTGGAATTTAGAGGTCAATTGAGCAGATAAGTGCAATATTTTGTCAGACAATAGATTATGTTGATGATTAATTTCCACTCGAAATCGTTAAGCCGTATAATTATGGTTCTTGCCAGCTTGGCATCGTCTAGAACTCGAATGAATCAATAAGGATTAGATCTGATAAATCGTAGATAT